CAACATTTTACTCAATATAATTAGATTGAGGTGAATGGGACTTACCGGTTGTCCAGGAAGAAGTCAAGAGAAATGGCCAGAGGAGCCCTGAATCCTTTGAGTTTTATATCCTTTCTTGATCTTCCAGGAAGATGAGACAACCTTTGTGCATAAGGTCTTAATTACTCTCCAAACAATTTTTCCCGCATGTGTAACACTTATAATTATTATAATTATTTGAACATTGTTTACTGGCATTATTCAATTTTCTGTGGTACATACTGTTACATGCTGGGGGGTTCCCTTCATGTTCTCTTTTCATGGTCTAAGTTAACTGCTGAGGTGATTCTACCACTTGGGTCTGTATTAATGTGGGGATGGAACTAGCTCTACTTTGTTCGGCTTCGACTTAAATGTTGACCAGGTGAGCAGTGGTTTGAAGACAGCAGCTGCTGTATTGCAGAAACGTTGGCTGTATCTGCTTGCTAGATGTGGGGTTTTAATTCATTCATTTAGAAGTCCACTGTAGCATTTAGCCAGAGGCACTATGGGGTTCATTCCTGTAAGTGGTTTGGAGGTGGAGGGAGAACAGAATTTTGCAGACAGTACATAGCCCATTTTTGTTCACAATGACATTGATTTAATTATTTGCTTCCTGTCCTTTGTTTTACTGCTGTCGCAACTTCAGCTGGAAGATGTTCTGCTTAGGGATCCTCACTCACAATCTAGGTACCAACCAACAGCTGAGCATCTGGTTCCAACCACCATGAGTGACTGGAGGGCTAAGAAGCATACCCTCTGCAAGATGCCCTCTTACAGAAGAGAAGACCAGAAGAAGGTAAAGTAATACTTTCTGCCAAAGTGAAAGAATGTAGCTGCCATTTACACACTGAGGCCAAGAGAAGTCATAGACTTAAAGTGTACCAAGGGAGACTTAAGTAAAATGAAAATATTTTAATCATGTGGCTACTTATGTGCACGAATTTTGTGGAGCTTCATTGATTTCCCAAGGATTGAGGTGGGTTCTCAGAGCTGAGTCATGTTCAGCTCTCACCAGCTTAGCTGAAGTTGCCCTTTAACCCATTTTGAAATGATTGCTTTTGAATGCAAACAGAAATGCATGTTTAATGAAAATGCAAAGTGCCTGGAGTTGTCAGGGCTCAAAACCAACATCCTGTTTATAAGAACAAGTAAGACACTTCCATCAAAAAAAATGCATATCCTAAAGTTGCTGTTAGTCCTGAGGTGTTCATCTCAGATAACATACTATTATAATGGTAAAACACTTTGCATGCATAAGCCAGTAATGAATAATTCTGAAAGGTTTTGATGTCCCCTGTTGTGTGGAGACTTCACCTCACCAAGTCCCTAGTTGTTTGGATTATTTTTTCCCATCCTCTCACAAAAGACAATGAAAAGTTACAGAATGCAAAGTTATCCAAAAAGCCAGGCCCCAGATTCACACCTCACAACAGAGGTTAACCCCACTGAGCCCTGTTGCCAGAGACTGCTGGTAATTTATGTTCAAAATCATATTTCATAGTGTTTGACAATTTCAGGTAGCTTATGGATCTCTTGGAGAATTCCGAACCAATTTCTGATCATACTTTTCTTCCTTAAAAGTGAGAAAAATGTCTGGGAAAATTGGAAATTCCTGTTTCTATGCCACTTTACCTGCAGAGCATCCAACTATCTCGAACTCGAAACTCAATTACACCTCAGTCTTCCCTGTAAGAAGAAAAGACAGCAAGGTTGCCATTTAATTTCTAAAAGTTATGAAGTTTTCTGCATAAAAAACCCTTTGGAAATGGGACTAGAAACACAACTCTAAACATCTTATACCTCCTAGTAACATGGGCAATGGGGAACTTGTGCAGCCAATGAATCCTGCATTTACACCTGCTTTGGACAGGGGTGGCACGGAAAGGCTGTGTAAAGTAGACCCCCAAAAGAAAAAGCCACTTTGTAGCCCACTCTGTCTCTGTCCACCTTGGTGTGGAGCTTGTCTTTGCTCTGAACACTCATTTGGTGAGTAAAGGTGGCAATAAACTGTCCCTCCAGTGTTTTCTTATCCATAGCAAACATGCCCAGCTCTCCCGACCTCCCTTTTCCTGCCAGTTTTCGGTGCCCTGACCACGCTGCAGCCTCCATCAGACTCGCCTCTGGCTGTCCATGCCTCCTGTGCTGAGCCCCCAAAAGCAGGCATGGAGGTCCGGATGGGGCTTCCTAAATGCCAGATGGAGGGGAATGAACACCTTCGGCCCGCTGCTGTCTATGCTCTGCTTCGGGCAGCCCAGCCTGCAGTTGGCTCTCACTACCACGAGGCTGCAGCACTGCCTCACATTTGGGCAACCGGGTCCTGTTTTTTGCAGGGCCCATGAGCTCTCCAGGAGCAGATACTTTCCGTTTGGTGAGCGAGAGCGGGGCTTGCTGCCAAAGCAGTTAGTGCTTGGAGAGAGGGAACAAGACAGTGTAAAACTATCCTTACGCAGAGAACCAGTAGAAGTTCAAGCACCATTTCATAGAATCATAGAATAGTTAGGGTTGGAAAGGAGCTTAAGATCATCAAGTTCCACCCCCCCCTGCCATGGGCAGGGCCACCCCACACTAAACCATCTCACCCAAGGCTTCATCCAGCCTGGCCTTGAACACCGCCAGGGATGGAGCATTCACAACCTCCCTGGGCAACCCATTCCAGTGCCTCACCACCTTAACAGGAAAGAATTTCCTCCTTATATCCAATCTAAACTTCCCCTGTTTATGTTTTAATCCATTACCCCTTGTCCTATCACGACAGTCCCTAATGAAGAGTCCCTCCCCAACATCCCTATAGGCCCCCTTCAGATACTGGAAGCTGCTATGAGGTCTCCACGCAGCCTTCTCTTCTCCAGGCTGAACAGCCCCAACTTCCTCAGCCTGTCTTCATACAGGAGGTGCTCCAGCCCCTGCTCATCCTCGTGGCCTCCTCTGGACTTGTTCCAACATTTCCATGTCCTCTTTATGCTGAGGACACCAGAACTGCGCACAATACTCCAGGTAAGGTCTCACAAGAGCAGAGCACAGGGGCAGGATCACCTCCTTCGACCTGCTGGTCACGCTCCTTTTGATGCAGCCCAGGATACGGTTGGTTTCTGGACTGCAAGCACACACTGAAGCCGGCTCAGGCTCATTTTCTCATCGACCAGCACCCCCAAGTCCTTCTCCGCAGGGCTGCTCTGAATCTCTTCTTTGCTGTGACCCAGGTGTAAAACCTTGCACTTGTCATGGTTAAAGTTCATGAGGTTGGCATCAGCCCACCTCACGAGCGTGTCGGGGTGCCTCTGGATGGCATTCTGGTGGCTTTGGGATATCAGGGTTTTCTATTATGTTTGAGCAACCCCTTCCTCAGGAGCAAAACCACAGCAACAGAAGCTCAGATTTTTGAAAGGAAACCCTTTTCTGCTGGTCAAGGCCATCTTCTCCATGCTAACTGTAGGGGAGTGTGCACCCTTTCAGGACCAAGAAAGACCGAGGTCAACAGTGCCTTTTAAGCCTTCCAAATGGGATAAATGCAGGTGGGAGAGCTTCCCCTGGGTCTGGTCTGTGCCACTTTCATGCCTTAATTGTGAACCTCTTAATACACCTGATATAAGAAAGGGATTGATCCCATGTGGGGTAGTCAGGAGGGAGCTGCTGGATCAGGCTTTTCTTCTCTTTTTTTCTATTTTATTCCCCAGTGTCAGTGATTTATGAGAAGTTACAATGAATTCTCTCTCCCCATGGGGACCAAGACTCCTGATCCTGGAGGACTGGTAACACCAGTCTCTATTTATACAGGCAAATTTATCACTTTATTAGTAAAAGGAGTCTACAGAAATCCTGCTTGGTCTGTTTGAGCTGCTGCAGAGGAAACCAAGGAGAGAAGGAGGTGGTTTTTCTGTTGGGATATGCTCAGGGAACCGGCTGAGCAGAGCAAGGCAGTGAAGCAGTGATGGGAGGAGATACCAGGTCTCCCACTGCACCTTTAGGTGGTGGCAGAGAGCTGCTGCTTCCACAGGAGCACCTCCTGGGAGAGAGTGCGATATGGGGCAGGTGTGCAGAGATGTGTGCATTGGGACTTTGTTACTTATATAAATATATGTATTAGGAAATCAAAATATTGATCAAGCATGATAACTGTTTCCTTCTATGAAAATATTGTTGTCAAGGAATAGATGAAATTGAGTTTGTTTTCCCTCTGGTTGCAGTTTTGTAACCACAGACTTGATGCCAATCACCCACCCACTGCATCTTTTGACACAGACAGGTCATAGCATCAAAAGAGACCTTCTGTGTCTTATCCCCTCATCCTCCTATGCTAGGGACTATCCCCCACAACCTATTTGGTAATCTGCTCAGCAGTGATTTGTCCAGGGACAAAACTTCAGAGCAAGGGACACCTGGGAAACTTGCCCCGGTCCCAGGGTGCAGGGCTGAAAGTCCTCCTGCATGACTTGCATGGAAATGGTGTGTGCTTCCCTACAACACTGATGTGACAGAGGTAAGCCTGGAGAGACAGTAAACTCCAGTCTGGGGCTCCTAAGTAGTCTCATTGCTTTAGCCAAGCCTTCTCCTAAGTGCCAACATGGGCTGCTGCTTCTGCTGTGTCTCTGGGTAACTTTTCAGCACCAAGATCTGGTGCCACAGATAGTAAATCTAGTCCTAAAAGCATGATTACTGCCATTATTTTACACAAAGAAGTGGTATAACAGCAGGGAATAGGGTGGGTTTGGCGTTTTTTTTTCTCCCCAGTAGTAGGTGTTAGAAACAGTTTCTAATAAAAAAAAAAAGGAAATAAACCAGGCAGAGAGTGGGAATCCAGATGAAACCTGAGTTTAATAGGACAGGTACAACCAGGGAACGCAGTTTGACCCAGTAACAGTAAAAACCTCTTGGGGTATGAACACTGTAACAGAGTTGTATCGATTTGAATCAGTTCAAAGCCTGAGCGATCGCCCAGAGTTACTTAATTTCTCACTAACATCTTTTCTGTTGCAGAATTACCGAAGTGTGGCCAAATCAGAAGGCAGTGTGCTCTATGATTTTAACATAGTTACAATGGGGGGTACAATAAGGCTAAAGCTTCTCTGGGGCTTAAGAATAGGAGCAGGGGAAGTAAAATAAAATACTTTAGACCTCAGCTATATAGCTCTCTGTTTTTCAAACCTATTTCTTTATCTCCTTTACCACAGACATTTTGGACCACAACGACTCTTCTTGGAGTGGCCTGAACGTTTCACACCCCCTGAGTGACGGTGCGTTGAGTGGTGGGTGGTCCGTGGGTAGAGGCACTTGGACTTGCTTAGGTGATGTGCGGATGAGCTCTTGTGCTTGGTTCCCTCCTGCAGCAGCAAGCATTTGCCTGTTTGTTGCTGTGAGGAGTACTCCTTTATTCCCTCTCCAGGGGAGCATTTGGGCACGTTTGGCTGCGGCACGGACTTGGTTACTTGCTGCTGGGAGGAGTAGGTGGTGACGCACTCCTGTGTTGGGTAACCCTTCATGCACTTCTGTTGGGGGAACCCTTTCACGCACTCTTGCATGAAAGACTCTGTTACACACTGCTGCGGGGGGCACTCGGTGACTCCACGCAGCGGTGGGGAATACCCACTGGTCATTCCCTGCAGGGACCGGAGCTCCGTGCCGTATCGCTGCGATGAGCACTTGGATATCTTCTGCGACCGGCATTCATTCTTACACGAGGATGCGTACTTGATCCCACATGGTGGGAACCTGAGTTTGCGCGGCTCCGGGCACCTGGGTGCACATGGTGGAAGGCTCTTGGCCACGCGCTTTTTCTCAGGGTGGATGGTCTCACAGGGCTGGAAACACGGTGTTGTGCTCAGCCGCACGCTGGGCTTCCTGCAGGGCAGAAGGCGAGTGGTCTCACAAGGCTCGGGGTACAGCAGGACACACTGCTGTACATAGGGTGGACAAGACAACAGAGGTGTCTGGGTCACACTTGGCTGTGGGCACACGTAAGTGAAAGGCTGAGTGTAGCTTTGCCATCTTGGCATCGGGCTCTTGATCACGCTGACTGGGTGGCACGTGGTGCTGCATACATCTTTCTGGGGTGTGCACTGCTGGATGCTTTCAGTGAAATAGCCCGATCCTGGCAGGTACAGATGTTTGTACCGCTCCCCATAGTAGTGCATGGTCACACAAAGCACTTAGGCCTGAAAGAAGCAGGGAAAAGACAGACAGTTCACATAGGCATTGGTTGATTTCTGTGATGTAGGACCTAGTTTCTGACAGGCACCTCAATATGCAAACTCATACCCTGGCTCACCTGAGGGTCAGAGGCTCTTTGTGACTCAAAACCAGGCTGGGATTACCCAGGTGAGTGGAGTCTCTTCTCAGCTTGTTCCTTCACACCCTTCTCTTAAGAGCCCAGAAACAACCAGGATTGGAGCCAAGCAAACTGGAAAGTTTTCATGCCAACTTTCGAAGACCAGCTAAGTGTCCATCAAAGCATTTCACAAGGACAAGCACCATTTCGACCCTCTGCCTTACTTCCTGGAAACCTTCCGTGTCCCCACTGGGACAACTATGCAGGTTTATGTCCTGCAACTCCCAAGTACCAGAGATGAAAGGCAAGCCAAAATTAAAGGTGTGTCCATGCTGTAATACTCAGGTGTGGCTGCAGTTCACACAGGCAAACCCAAGCTGAGGCTAAATTAACTAGCTGAGGGTAAGGATAGGTTTGTGGCAGCAAGGAGCTCATCAGCTCAGCACGTACAACTTGCCTATTGAGTCACAATCCCACAGGGGTCTGCTGGGCTGACAGTGTGCAGAGCATTTATGCTCTGAGCATGCTACCATAGCATCAGCTTTGCTGCCTCTCAAGCCTTGCAGTCCCAGATTCATAGAAAATAGTTTGTGTAGGCATCTTCAAGAGAAGAAAAGAGCAAATACAACAGGATTGTGTCTAAGTGTCTGGTGAAATGACAGCAAGAAAGGAGAAGCTGTGAAGGCAAGGTCTCAGCTGTTGTTAACTGCTCAAGTGTCACTGAGCTGAGCGAATTACACCCATTTAAAGCAGCCTCCAGCGCTGCACTACAGTCATACCAAGTCATAATGTCTTGGTTTTGTTATGGTAAGCTAAAGATCCACTGTCACAATGCCTGGCATAGCAATTCTGAGAGTGAAACCTCATCCAGGCAGCCCCAGTTAGAGCAGCAGAAAGGGGAATCTAGATGACACCCCCTTCCCAGGGAAGGGATCAGGTGGCACTATCTAAAGGCCCACACTTCCCTCCTGAAACCACTGAGAAATGTCTCACTTTGTCTTGACCCTGGGAGTTGCAGCATAAACCATCCCACTTAATTCTCCACCCTGGAAAACACCAGTTTCAGGGAGTTTTCTGTGGTTTTAACAGGCATATTTTGAGCACAATAGGTACTTCAACCACTGACACATGAAAGGTACTCTGTTTGAAAATGTTTTCCTTATTTCATTTCAACATTGGAGATTAAGGCATATAATTAAACAATTGTAAAGAAACTGCAGTTTCTAACACCTCGAGTTCTGTCTATAACTACAGTAAGGCGTTTTATCTTCCAAAAGCCTGTCACTGGGTGACTATTAACAATAGCAATGCTGTGTGTTCCAATCATTAGGAAAAACTTATCACTACAATTATAATCATCAACTAATAAAAACAGCCAGATGAAAAACAATGATAGCAATTACTACTAAATGCTAAAGTGATGCTCGTTAAGATAAAAAGCTTCTAAAATAGGGGGGAATATTTGCTTCCAAGGGGTTGTTTGCATCTCAGACTCATTTGTATCACTGTTATCCTAGATGGAAATTTAAACATGATCAGGCTTAGCTAGAGTCTCACAGTTGACCTTCACATTGGCACTGAAGTTGGTCAGCTTCTTATTATTATCTTAAAAGTTGCTTTGCTTAAGTAAGTTCATAAAACAGCAGCAAATTTCTCCATGTCACTTCCTTTAGAGGAGTTGCTCATATCTACTGTCAGCATCGAGCTCTTTATGTAGTCAATAGCCTCCTTTGGACTAGAACTAACAGAAAGCGTAGAGAAGCCCACAGATCCCACTCCTGACTTCACAGTCCATTGGGAAGTGCTTTCCCAATATTCTTCACTTTAGCACAGAGGAGATGCTGCAGTAGTTAGAGCTGTGCATGCTGGTGCTGAAGGCAGCATCCCCCAGAGGATGCTTCTCCACGAGTACATACGCAGAACCTCTGCCTGCTCCGGCCACCCAGGAATAAAACAGCATTTCAGGAGCTCCATTAAAAGCCAGACTTACCCACTTCATCAGTGAGATCAACTGGAGAGAAGTGCCTAGGAGAGCCCCGCGATGGCAGAGCTTTTATACAGTGAATAAGTGCCCTAGGGGAGTGAGGCGGTTTGGCTGGGTGATGCTCTAATTGCCTGCCAGTCCTGGATGAGCCACGTGCAGCTTCATGCCGGCGGGAATGGCTGTCCTTGCTCTGTGAGGTTGCTGTCACCACCAGGTACCATCGGGACATCTGTGAGCTCCATGAGCTGGAACCTCATGATCCAATATACTGAACCAGCGAAGCATCTGGGAGGCTGAGGGCATCCTGTGCTCATGGCCTTCGTGCTCTGAATTCCCATGCACAGTGCCAAAGCATCCCAGCATGCCCATTGCAAACCCAGGCCAGCTAAAATATACCTTTCCACCCAGAAAAAGATTGCAGTTGAGACCACCAAAGGGACTTCTCATTTCCGTGCCTAATCCATTTGGTGCCTTTGAAAACACCATCCAGGAAGGACTCTTGGCAACCTTTTGCCAAGACCATAATTACTGTGGCATGCAGACTTCCTTCACTTACACAGGGAGCCCAGGGAAGAGACGGATGATTTGGAGTGAGAAAGCCTTGGGCTAAGGCAAGATGGCTACTAAAAAAGACTTGCTACGAAGTGAATGACCTGCTGAAAGAGATGACGCTTTTCCGGCACAACAAAGAGGAGAAAGGACAAGCAGGAGCCCGGGGAAAGGCGGCTGAATCAAACCCAGCTCATGTCCTGAAAATACAAATCCTATTTCCTGCTTTGCTGCACAGTCTCTGCACCAGTCATCCCTCCCTTTGTTCCCTGTTTACACCACAAATGAACCCAAAGGAAAATTAACAGTGGCATGAGCAGAAGTGCCAATAGGGAATACATTCTTACGTAGTCATATAGGCATAAGCCAAGGTCCTGGGCTTTATTTTCCTTTATTTTTTTTCCTTTAATCTGACACCTATGACTTGGGTTCCAGCATGCTGGGAATTCAAGTGAGGTCCCATGCATTGAAATAAAAAAAAAAAAAAAGTGAAATAAGTTAACTTTTAATGGAGTAGGTGGAAAATTTTTCACCAATGTGAAGCACTGGGAATGCTGCTGGGCTGTCAACTCTAGAGGTATTTTAAAGACATGCTTAGGAACCTGGTGGACTTGGCCGTATTGTATTTATGATTTAGCTCGATGGACTTAAGGGTCTTTTCTAATCTAAATGATTCTATGATTTGAAGCAAAATATTGATCTCCATCTTATGAACCACTTAGTAAATTTCTATTTCTATTTTCATTAGAAAATTCAGAAGCCTGAAGGTAGGTTTGTTATTTAAATTTCTGATTTTCCAACAACAAAAAAATCTCACTCACTATCATAAAAAAAAATACAAAGTGTGTGTTTCCCCAGTTGATGCCAACAACTTTTACTGTGTTTCACTCCCTGGAGCTATAATGCCCTTTTTTAATGTTAAATGATCTGACCTAAGATTTTGGGAATCAAGCTGGCGTCAGAGAACAGGTAAGCAGATTAATACAGTTTTTACAAGGTCTATAAATCCAACTCCTGGGCAAGCTCCAGATCAAGTAGCCTTCAAGTAATGCTAATATTCAGTTTAGTGTTTCCAATATAGGTAGCAGAATACTAACCCGATGATAACACCGTGCTCTGTCATCCAAATATTCTTAATTATCATCTGTAAAGTCCTTTCATCTCAGAGAGACGCATAGTGCCACATGGGGCATTGTTGAGGGGGGTATTATTATTCCCAGTTAAGGACAGGGGAAACTGAGGCACATTGCACTGTGGTCACTTGGTGGTGCAGAGTGAGTCAGAGCCGGGGTCAGGGCCAGACTCCATCACAACCACCTTCAAAACAAACCCTGTGCACCCTGTGAGGTAAGGCTCTGCACCACCTGGCTACCCATCACCACCAAGAAGATTTTCCTAAGGATCCCCTGGGCTCTGACACCTATGGAAAAGACACAATGATGTGAGAACTCTTCAGAAGGCCACCCCGTTGTTTATTTCTTGGTTTTAAAGGGGACAGAAAGTGTTGGATTGTGAGAGCATCCCTGGCTCTTCAGGGTGGAAATAAGGCCATGGTCACTGCTGCTCTCGAGTGCAGCCCCTCTGGTCCAAAGCATCACCACTGAATATTCAGGAGAAGGTATGAAAAGGGTTTGGTTCCCCATGACCCACTGAGCTCCCTGGGGAAGCAGCCAGATGCCCCCTTGACATTGCGAGATGCTCAGGTCTTGGACATTTCCTTGCCTTCAGAGGGCAGCCTGCAGTGACACCCCAAGGTCACCGAGCAAGGGTGGAGCAGGGCAGGATGCGGGGCAGCGTCCCGGGCCTGGTCACACCCTTCTCTTTGTCTTGCAACACTTGTTTTCAGCCTCCAAATACACATGATCTACTTAGCATGAGTTACTACTCGTTCTCCTAATGATAGGGCATATTACAGGATTTTTCTGTTTTTTAGACTGGATTCACTGTATTTAATAAAGAAGAACCGTGAGACAGGAAAAAGACAAGATACTTAATCTCAGGTCAGACAACTTTATTTAAGTATATATATGTATGAGTATACATATATATATGTGTTTTATTTTCAATATATATATGGATTTTGTTTTCAATGTGTAGAGTACACATCTTTGAGCAGCATAAAGAATATGGTTAATTGCTTTTACAGCTCAAACATTTCTAAAACAGTCGTGCTACAACTTTCAGTGTTATTTCAAAGACTTTCATTTTTTTTCAAGTTGTGTTTTCAGTATTCATGAAAACAACCAAGTGAAGAAAAACTTTCATATATAAAATTTCAGCAAGCATCAGCTTCACCAAACCAGGAATCCTGCCTTGTCTGGGGACTCTGCTGAAGTCAGCGCAGAGTCAGTGTTTTAAAGCAGCAGGCATTTCTGGCCACCTTCTGAAATGAAGGCTGTTGGAGGAAGATTCATACACCGTTTGCTTAGCAAATTTACTTTTGGCTTCCAAATCTGGGTGTGAAAATAGATAGCTTTTTTATAGTTCTCTGTTTTGGAGAACTTGCAGCCTCGTGGAACCCAAGTTAAGCTGAACATTGTCTCCTAAGGACTAAATGCAGAGTTGGGCACAGCCCACTCCTTCACTGACCACATCACCAGTCCTTTTGGTGCTGTCATGATCTGGAGTCCTTAGACATTTCTATTTCTTTATACATATATATATATATATTTAAATCATTATTCATTTTAATTGTGTGAGAATTTAATAGCATCCCGCTAAACTATGCCTTGCAGCAGATAAAGGTACAAGCCTAGGTACCTGGAGTGCAGCCATGGATATAATATCACACCCTATGGCCCAAACTAGAGCTGAGCTACAGGGGAAGCACTTGAAAACAGAGATAAAGCAGATTTAAGCAACAGCAACCAGTTGGCAGGTGGTACATGGAGATCAATAACCCCTGCCAATCCCAGAAGTTGTACCTAGCTCTTTTCCTGTGGGCCTTCCTTTCCCTTCTCCTTTTTACCAGGGCCATTTGGAGGCAGAGCAGTACTTTTTAGCGTGGCTTGAAATTTTCACTCCACCTGACTGACACTGCTGCTGTGGGACACACTGCGTGGCGCGTTGCTGCTGCGGCACACACTGCGTGGCACACTGCTGCTGCGGCACACACTTGGTGGCACTCTGCTGCTGTGGCACACACTTGGTGGCACACTGCTGCTGTGGCACACACTGTGTGGCACACTGCTGCTGTCGCACACACTTAGTGGCACACTGCTGCTGCGGCACACACTTAGTGGCACACTGCTGCTGCGGCACGCACTTAGTGGCACACTGCTGCTGCGGCACACACTTAGTGGCACACTGCTGCTGCGGCACACACTGGGTGGCACACTGCTGCTGCGGCACACACTTGGTGGCACACTGCTGCTGCGGCACACACTTAGTGGCACACTGCTGCTGCGGCACACACTTAGTGGCACACTGCTGCTGTGGCACACACTTAGTGGCACACTGCTGCTGCGGCACGCACTTAGTGGCACACTGCTGCTGCGGCACACACTTAGTGGCACACTGCTGCTGCGGCACACACTGGGTGGCACGTTGCTGCTGTGGCACACACTTAGTGGCACACTGCTGCTGTCGCACACACTGGGTGGCACGTTGCTGCTGTGGCACACAATGGGTGGCACACTGCTGCTGCGGCACGCACTTAGTGGCACACTGCTGCTGCGGCACACACTGGGTGGCACGTTGCTGCTGTGGCACACACTTAGTGGCACACTGCTGCTGTCGCACACACTGGGTGGCACGTTGCTGCTGTGGCACACACTTGGTGGCACACTGCTGCTGTGGCACACACTTAGTGGCACACTGCTGCTGTTGCACACACTGGGTGGCACACTGCTGCTGCGGCACACACTGGGTGGCACACTGCTGCTGTGGCACACACTTGGTGGCACACTGCTGCTGTCGCACACACTTAGTGGCACACTGCTGCTGTTGCACACACTGGGTGGCACACTGCTGCTGTGGCACGCACTTGGTGGCACACTGCTGCTGCGGCACACACTTAGTGTCACACTGCTGTTGTTGCACACACTTGGTCGCACACTGCTGTGGGATACAAATGGTAGCACCATCAGTGTCACACCGCTGTGGGACACACTTGGTCACACACCTGGTTGCACGCTGCTGTGGGATGTACGTGGTGGCACACTGCTGCGGGGCAGAAGAGGTCACAAAGTGGTGCGAGACCCATTTGGTTGCACGCTGCTGTGGGACGCACGTGGTCACACACCTGGTTGCACATGGCTGCTGCGGGGTGTATGTTGTCACACACTGCTGTGGGATGCACTTGGTTGCACACTGCTGCTGCGGGATGGCCTTGGTCAGGTACGGCTGCTGTGGCATACATGTGGTCACACATCTGGTCTCACACTGCTGCTGCGGGGCATAGGCGGTCACACACTTGGTTGCACACTGTTGTGGCACAGCCTCGGTTGCACACTGCTGCTGTGGCACACACTTGGTCACTCTAGGCTGCTGCAGCATGCCCTCAGTTGCACACTGCTGCTGTGGCACGCAGGTTGTCACACACCGAGTTATACGTGGCTGCTCTTGGATGCGTTGGGTCACACACTGCTGCTGTGGCACACACTTGGTCTGATACTGCAGCCGTGGCACACACTTGGTCACACTCTGCTGGTGGGAGAAGCTGGAGGACATGATCCGCTGCCGGGGGATGCAGGGGGTCACATATTGTGGTGTGCATAGTGTCGAGTGCCAGGTAGGCACTGGCAGATGTCTGGCAGTATATACTGGTGAGTACTTGATGGGGATGGAGTTCTGGTAGACTGGAGGGAGGCACTGGTGTAGGTAGCACGACATCTTGGTGAGGCTTTGGCAGGATGGGAACGGCACGTGAGAAAGCCTTCAGAGAGGCTGTTTCTTGCTGTCCTGCTGCTGCCCGTGCTTCAGGACTGGCTTGTTTCACAGGGTGCTGGAGACACGTCCCACCTATGCCATGGTCTCAAAACCACAGCAGCAGCAGCTGAAGACCCAACCCATCATTTTTAACTCTGAAACATAGCATCAAGTCAAACAGTGGGGAAATTCAGAGACATATAGCGCCAAATATCTCCCTGGACTGCAACTCCCTCCCCATCACCTCGACCTCCATGGGGAGAACTAATCATGGAGGCCAGCAGCAGAATGGCTGATCTCAGAGCTTTCAATCATTAAACCCAGTTTTCCCTTCCTATGACCTCTTACTGATGCAGTGAGAAAAAGGCCCAACCCAGAAAAGAGGTCTGAAGCTCTCGTCACATCTGCCGTAGCAGGAGAGACAAACAGCACTCAAGGCTCCGCTGTTTGATCCCATCACACCATGGGCAGATAGAGGTCCACAGCTCAGTCCCAGCATCACAAGGCTCGTGCTCATTATGGAACCAATGCCTATTAAAGAGTAGTGATACCACAACTGAACACAAACCTGCTTGCAGCTCTTTTAGCATTACCATTGTCTGGTCCACCAAAGCTCCTCTGACTGTTGTCAGGCACCCCCAAAAAGCAAACAATAATAGCAGCACCCCAATTACTGCTGACAGCCTTTCCTTAAATTCTTCTGGATTGCCTTTTGGACTCAGAGGCCCAGCTGAAGACACGAAGAGCACGCTGCTACTCCAACACAGCAATTCAAGCCAAATCATTTTAAAAACTTCTCTCATAGACCATTTTTAGTACATAAAAAAAAAGTAGAAATAAATCTGCATTTCAGCAGCTACAGAGGCTCAGCATAAACCAGACTTACCCAGCTCCCTGGTGAGAACAGCTCAGTGGTGTGACCAGTGAGCTCTAATAGAAGGAGAGCTTTTATATAGCTACTAAACATGCCTTGAAGGTATGAGGTACCCATGACATAGCCTATTAGCTCCTATGCAAAGCTGTCCTGTGTGCAACACTCGCAGTGACTAGCATCAGTGTACTCATCCCTGAGGATGAGTAGTTGAATGTTAGCTCGCCATAGTAAGAGTAATTACCTTTAGTATAATCCTCCCTGGCATGGTAATACTTAAAGGTATTTGGAGAGGCAGCAGCAGCGGCATCCCCTGCCTCAGGGGTTTTGCAAGGCAGAAGTGCACCCAATAACAGCTGGTAATGGCTTTCAGAGGTCTCACTGGAACAAGGCTTCACAGTCCCTGGAAATGTCTTGGTGGTCCCCATGAAATGGGGCCATCCCATCACTCAGCCTCTTTCCACACACATGTGGCATTGTTTCATGCTGTGAGAGCTGCACTGACTGTTCCATGTCTTTCTCCATCTTTAATCCCTGGTTAGAGCTTCTTATCTGCCCTGTAAGGCCCAGCAGCCAGGGTTGGCTGTATTTGCAGGCTGGACATAGGGCACTGGCTTCTCTAAGGAAAACAGGAGCTCCTAGTAAGGTTCAAATTATTCCCTTGGGTGGATGCAGTTCATCATCCACAGAAAACTTCATTTTTAGCTTGTGTAGTTCCAGAGAACACATGGCCATTGGTGTCCTGATGCTCCCATGATCCCAGTGCAGTCACCTGTCACCAGAGCAATGGGAATACACAGTCCAGTGACTCTCAGATGAGCGGAAAAGATGAGCTACAGTCACGTTTGATTACAGCCCTTGCACAACAAGCTCAGGAGTCAAAGCTGTGACCGGCCGCACAACAGGCCACAAAAAGCACCAGGAGCAGATAAACTTCCTCCACACTTGCAGGTGACTTTCTCAGTGAGTCAGCTTCTTATCACACACTGTGCCCAGATTAAAAAGACTGGTTAGAAAACTTAGAGATTAACTCTTTGAAATCATCGGTGGTCTGATCAATGCTTTCATGTGTACGTTGTCACATGAAATAGCCTCCATAAGTGACAATTTCTTCCTGCTGGCTACAGGGAGAGCTGAGGGGGACTAATGCAGAGGAGTGCTCAGCCTGCTGGCATGTAATGCTGGTTGAGATCAAACACACTCCGAGAGGATCACTTCCTGAGCATGTTTATTAAAACCCATGGTTTCTTGTGAACTAGAGAAATGGCTCTGCCCACCTGGCCTTTGAGGCAAATAAAAAGGTCCATAAATAATTCTGTAATGAAACTGAATAATAAAGTTTAGGTATTCTTGGACAACTATACACCACACTGAGGAAGAATCACAGAGAGTGAAATTCTCCCTTTACCATAAGCTTCTCCAGTAAGAATGAATCCTGCCCCTTGCTGGTCAACATGGAGTGTGATCACCTTTGCCTGAACCACAAGTAATGTGTCTTTGTTGTGTCATCTCTCTCACAGAAATTGGTTCTTTAATCCAAAGCCATAACTCTTCATTGCTTTTTAGCTCCAAAGGTTGTAGCTGTGATCCTCCCTGTTAACCAAAGTGAGCCGTTCGCTTTTGTATTATTTCCCTTCACACCGTCTCAGCCTTCAAACAAATCCTTGTTTCATCCCATACTTCACTGTAACACCATGTGTACCTGCCCAACTCACTGAAAGCCCAGGTGAACTTTAATTTTCTGATCACAACAATGACTCTTCTTTCATGTTAATATCCAGCAGTGTCCAAAACTATAGAATCTAAGAAAGAAACCCCCCAGAAACCCAATTAGGCTCCATTTCAACTTTGTCAACATAGCAAATTTGGACTTTCACTATACAACAATTTAATGAGTGTTTTATTTTCCCATGGCAATGCCTGCCAAAAATGTGTGCTTCTGTTGTCATCATCTGTGCATACCCTGGCAGTGTCCACCTCCCCTCCATAGCCAGCCCCACCTTGAAGTGGTTGTCAGCTAAGAAAACCTCCTGTCCTTTTCTAACCTGCCTAACAACCTGGAAAATAGCATGAGATGAAGGTGGGGAAAAAAGAAAAAAGAGGTTAAAACAAAGCTGTGGCACTGAGAAGCATGAAGAGGGAAGCTGAAAAACATCCTGGAGGAGATGCCAGGTGAGACATTAGGGAATCCACCACCTTCCCTTTAATAAGTCAGGAATGTGAAGGAGCATCTTCACAGTGTGGCAATTTTGGAGCATGACCAATGACACAAGGAATGCAAAGCTCCCTGCCTGCAGAAGAAGGGGCCATTAGGAAAAGAAGACAGAAGAAACAAGGTCCATTGTCCAGGTATGATCTGGGAGATTGGGTTGAAACCTCAAGTGATGTAAAATTAGCCTTGTTCCATTAACAGTAATAAAAATATAACAATAAACTGGGCAAAGAGCTGTAAATGGGAGGGAGCTACAGTGCGGAGTTGTTAGGCTTTAAAACTAGTTCAATGTGAAGACCACTCTATGTGTCAGGCTACAACAGCAAAGCCAAGAAATATATCCACCTTGGAGAAGTATCTGCAGGAGGATGGGATGGCTATTTCCTCCAGTCTTTCGAAGACACAGCCATTCCCTCCAGCCTCTCCAAGTGTTGTGGTTTAACCCCAGCCAGCAACTGAGCACCATGCAGTCACTCACTCACTCACTCCCTCCCTCCCTCTGCCCTCCTACCCCTTGCCCTGGTGAAAGCAGGTAAACCCCATAGGTTGAGACAAGAACAGTTTAATAATTAAATTGAGATAAATAAAATGCAATAATAATAACAGTAATAGCACCAATAATATAAATAAAGAAACAAGAGGAATGAAACAAATAAAATCCTCCGAGTTATGCACAATGCAGTTGCTCACCATCCACTGACTGATGCCCAACCTGTTCCTGAGCAACAATTGCTGCTTTCCAGCCAACACCCCCCCAAACAGTGTTATACTATATATAATACTATATTATATATTCAGTATTTCTATACTGAGCATGATGTTCTCTAGTATAGAATATCCCCTTGGATAATTTGGGTCAGCTGTCCTGGCTGTGCTCCCTCCTGTTTTCTGTGTTCCCCTTACTGGCAGGACATGAGAGACTGAAAAGTCCTTGACTTTTCCATATTATTCTCAGAATAAAGCCAAAACAGAGCACTGTACCAGGAAGAAAACTACCTCTATCCCAGCCAAAAACAGGACACCAGGGCATGGTCATTTCCTCCAACCTTGCAAAGGAATGGCCATTTCCTCCAGCCTCACCAAGCATGGGCATTTCCTCCCATCTCCCCACAGCATGGATGTGTCCTCCAAGCTCCCCGTGACATGGTCACGTCCTTCGAGCTCGTAGGGCGCGGACATTTCCTCCACGCTATACAAACCACTAGAGAGCAGCATTCGCACAGGCAACCACCTCCTGCAGCAGCTTCGCAGATCCCAGGTACTGATAGTCGGGAAACTGCCTTCCGATGGCCTCTCATGCCAGGAATATAGTTTAAATTGGCAGCCCGTGAACTAGTCCAAGCCAATGCCCCTGCAGCCCACCCGCAGCCTCCTGTTCTACCGCTGTAAAAGCCAGAATGCCTTATTCCAGGTGTTCCTGGGCATTAAGAGCAAACACGGAAGCAGTAGTTGGCCAGCACATGATGTTCTTCACCCAAGAGTACATCTGTTCAGTGAATCCCTGCGGGGCACTAAGGTGTATGCAGGGAGGGGAGGGCAGAGAGTAAAGAAAACATGAGCGAATAAGAAGAAATTGCACTTTTATTGTATCAGACTTGTAATTAGAAAGCCACTTACAGGCTGTAGATAATAAAACTTAACAAGTTTTACAAGCAAGCAGTAAACTCACAGTCTTACTCTTTCAATGATTTAACAGCACTGAAGGCAAAATTCTCAGCCCATCATGCATCAGAATGAAATGCTCCTGACTTGGACTCTTTCTTGCTTCATTTTAAAAGTATTTTGTTACTTAATGAACTCTTGCTGTTCCGCAATTAGTAGCCTCACACCCCTCTTTCTTCTGGTTGCTACCAGGTTCAGTGAAGGTTACCCTGTAGAAAATCTGACTGCATGGTCATAATAGCTCTGGTGACTTTAAAAATACTTAAGCTGAGCTGTGAGTTTCCATACAACTTTCTCCTCCCTCAGCACTCATATTCTTTAGCTCTATCCATTACCTGGCCTTCCCATGGAAGAGAAACCTGGGTGCTGAGGTTTGAGCTCGAAGCTTGGTCACAACCACAGTAGCAGCAACAGTGTTAATCTTAAAGCACAAAGACCCCAGCAGCACAGTTCCAGGGACTGCCAGATCTCATTGTGGAAGCAGTATGTGGTCACCAAGGCACTCAGCTGCAAAAGATGAAGTTGTGAAATGCATCTAGTGGAGCCTCTGTCACACCAGCAATGAGAACGTGGGAGGATAACCTTCTTGCAAGTCAGGGTCTGAGAAAAACAATATAGGAAAAAAGGAAATCCAATGTTTTTGAGGAAATATA